TGCGGAAACCAGCCTCTCCCCCCGTCCCGCAGCCTCTCGCCCAGGTACCAGCCTAGGAGAGGGGGTGGAGCACTCAGAGACGGGCAAAGGGAACCCCAAGAGGGAGCACCCCACACCACCCCCTTGCTGGCGGGCACCAGCGAGTCATGAACTGCCTGCTCCTGGAAGAAGCTACCCCGGCCTGACACAGGCTTCCTGCTGCACGGCAGGGCCCTGAGGTTCCCAGCCCGGGGAGGGGTCCACGAGGTGGAGTGGCCCTGGACTCCCCAGCTGTCCAACCCAAACTGAACTGGCTTCATCAGACACACTGACCAGCGCTAGCCGGCGTGCCAATCGCACAATGCACTGGGGAGTCATGCGGCAGCCCAGTTACTGCTCCGGACGGCTCCTTACAGTCCCAGCCCACCCACGGGGTAACCTGGCAGCAGCCGCCATGCCTGGGCCTGAAAGCACGTCCCACCAAACCCCCAAGAGGCAGAGCCATTCTCCCCAGGGCACGGACACAGGGAAGGGAAGGGACTTCTCCACGGTCAGATGGCCTCAGGGCAGTGTCAGGGCCATAGCCCAGAGGAACCTGCTCCAAAAAGCCGAGGGGACCTTTTCAGAGCCCAAGTCAAGCTCCGCTCCCCACCCCTCCCCCTCCCAGAGCCAAGACCAGCCCTCAAGAGTCCTGGCTCCCAGTCCTCTCTTCCCTCCATCTCACCCCAACCACTTACCATCCTCTTCGCCGAGGACCAAGACGACATCGGCCTGCTGCAGGGAGATCTCGTCCGTCTGTTTGGCCAAGAAGGCCCTGGTGAGCTCCACCTGCCTCAGCTCTAGTGGGGGAGACAGAGAACACGGAGACTGAACGAAACGCAAAGCTGCCACGAGGCTACGTCCGGACGGACCCCACCGCCACGCCGCCTGCAGGCCCGGGGAGAGGGCTGGCCACGGGCAGGCCGGGCCCTCCTGCAGAGTGAGGGGAGACCGGCTGCTTTCCTGCAAGCAAGGGGCGCTGGAAAATCGCAGCGGGATGCAGGTGCCACCGGAGGGACGGGCCTTCCGGCCCACCGCAGACGGGCAAGTCCAGAGCAGAGCTAAGATCTAGCGAGGGCCCCACAACCGCTCGAGCTGAGCGTTCGGGCACCAGGCTCAAGGGGGCAGGTGCCCCACCCACCTCTCTGCTCTCCCGGGGCTCCTGAACCAGCTCCACGTCTCAGGAGGGATGCTAATGGACAAGTGCCTGAGTGCGAGGCTTAGTGGGCAGGGAATTCCAGCCCCATCGGGCCCACCAGCCAGCGGGAGCAACCCCTGTTCGCAGCGGGGGGGACTGCAGTCCGGCTGGGGCAGGCGGGACCACTCTAGCCCAGTGCACTGGAGCAGTCACCTGCCCGCTCCCATTTAATCAGTTAACTGGTAAAACTAACTAACTGGGATTTTACACTCCTGCTTCACAGCCTGCTTCAGGGCAGCCCAACGCTCCGCTCCAGTCCCTCCCTAACCCCATGCCTGCTAGCAGTTCCTCCGCTGTCCCCCGGGGCTCGGCTGCATGAGGCTGCAAGCTCTCGGGGTTCGCCTGGGCTTCCTTTCGAAATAACCCCCTTGGGTCGAATGGCTAAGCGGAGCGTCCGCACTGCCAAGCCCGTGCTTTCGAAATAAAGGGGCGCTTCTTTCCAACTCTGGGCTCCTGCTTTCCTCAGGGACTAACGCTCGTTTGGAAAGTGAGCTCGAAAGAGCGGCCGTGCGGACGCCCCGGCGCTCCCATGTTGAGAGAGCGACTCCCCAGAGTCCTTCACACGGATGACTCCCCAGGGCGTCCCGGGGCTCTCCATCGAGGTGAAGGGAGCCTGCCTCGGACTCATTGTGAGGCTTCCCGGGCGTGGTGCCGCGCTAGTTCGACTGTGTTACTTCAGGAGTGACGAAGCTGAAGTTCGTTATTTCCAAAGAGCGTCCTAGTGTAGACACGGCCTCGGCGAGCGATCGCAGCCGCGGTGGCAGAGAGGCCTGCTGTGCAATAGGAAACGATCACTGGGAAAGGCCTATTCAGAGCGGTGATGCTCACAGCGGTTGGAGGCAGAACTATGGCTGCCCTGTGGGACTTGTTTTCCCTGGGTTGGGGATCAATCACTTTGGCTTTTAGGGCCATTTCATCAGCAATCTCAAAGCCAAGCCACCAAGCGGGCAGGAAGTGACGCAAACCCAATCAGCTGAACAAAAAGGTCCGGTTTCCAGTGGCTCTAGCCCTACCCTTGTCTCCTGTTGGCCAAGCTTTGCCCAGGGCTGCTCTTTGACGTGCTACCAAGGCTGGTCGGAGCCAGGGGTCTTTGTGAAGGTGACTGGCAAAGCTGCCAGCTCTCACCACTGCGTCGCGAGGGCCGCAATACCTGGGAGTGGGGAGGGGAACCTGAGAGTCCCATGGCCTGCCCCTCCCAGCATTTTTTTAAACCAGTCTCGTGATTTGTTGGGGGTCCTGACAGAACTTCCCAGTTCTTGAGGCTGACAATGGTCCATACATAACCAACAAAGCAATCAGGTCCCACTCCGCATTATGCCCACCGCTGGGGAGGCTACACAGAAGTCGGAGAAAGACGCTTTATTTCTATTGTATCAGCGGTGATACTAGGGGTGATAATTGGGGAAGCTATCTTTGTAATGGGACACTTTACGAATGGGCCTTAAAGATGCTAATTACCTTACCCATTATAAAGATAGCTTCCCCAATTATCACCCCTAGTATCATTATCTCATAGGGTATGTCTGCACTGCCACCCTAGTTCGAACTAGGGTGGCTAATGTAGGCATTCGAACTTGCAAATGAAGCCCAGGATTTAAATATCCTCCTTGCAGGAGGAATAACGGTAGTTCAAATTAGGAGTTTTAATTCGAACTACCTAGTCCATGCCGCGTGTCGCCATGGGCTGGGGAGTTTTAATTCGAACTACCTAGTCAGTGCCGCGTGTCACCATGGGCTGGGAGTTCAAACTACGGGGCGTTTAAAAATGGCGGCGCCCGGGAACATGCAAATGAAGCCTGGGATATTTAAATCCCGGGCTTCATTTGCAAGCGCGAATGCCGACATTAGCCACCTTAGTTCAAACTAGGGTGGCAGTGTAGACATACCCATAGATACTAGCTCTCCCCCTCATCCTCCCTCTGTTCTAAATCTGATTTGTCAGTTTTATAATGTGTTCACTTTTTTTTTTATTGTATCCCTTTGGTATATATGGTCGTGCCAATTCTCTTCCAGAATTGGGTCTGGCCCACGAAAGCTCGTCACCTAATAAGCCATCTTGTTAGTCTTTAAAGTGCTGCATAGTCCTGTCTTTTGTTTCAGCAAGATCAGACTAACACGGCTACATTTCTATAGTGTTTCGTTTGGCAGGGATCCGCATAGTCCTGTCTTTTGTTTCAGCAAGATCAGACTAACACGGCTACATCTCTATAGTGTTTCGTTTGGCAGGGATCTCGCACTTCCTGCATGTCTGCAGGGCTTCAAATTCACAGTCGTGTATCCCAGACATGAACCGATTCGGGAGCCCCATGCGGGGCAGCAGCCGCTGCTGCAGAGCCAGCAGAGGGAGCAAAAGTCTGTTTCTCTTCCTCCTCCAACCAGAAGATTTTCATTTCCCTTTCTTAGCATCCCATCCCACTGTTCCAAGGAGAGCACAAGCCACCGGCAGAATCTTAAAGGGACCGATGTAGAGTTAACTGCAGCAGTAGGGATGTTACATGTAGATTAATTAACTAATTGAACAGTCGCTGGGATTTCCTCTGCATTTGAACTGTAGCAAGAGCCCTGACGGGTGAGGGTTAGGGGGCGTGGAGCTGGTGGGATTAACTAATTGAACAGTCGCTGGGATTTCCTCCTTTGAAACGTGCAAGCGCCCCTGCAGGGCTATTGTACATTGCAAAAGCAGAATCGCAGCAGAACCAGCTGCAGTGGAGTCTGCTTCAGTCCCCACGCGTGCTGTTTCCTGCTGTGCCTCAACCTCCCCTGTCCCCTGCGGAGACAGTGCTGGGGGGAAATGGCTTTTAAGCCGGCTCCCCCCAGCACTGGCTCCAGCTCCCCCCTTGCTGCCTCCCTGTGATTAGAGGCAGCAAGGGGAAAGAAGCAACTAGTCGCATCACTAATTGACTATCCGATCAGCTTCTGCTTATTGGTTAGTTGACTAGTCGCTCACATCCCTATGCAGCAGGTAAGGTCTGTTATCTCCATGAGAGGCAAACGCTGCTAGCGGGAGAAGGAGCCATCCAGCAGAATGGGTCCCTCAACGAGAGAATTAATCAGGCCCTTCCTATTTCAGACACACACGTCCACAGCTCTGCCGTCACACGCTTTCCACTCAGAGACTTTGACCTTTGAATGGAGAGCGTCACAGTCCTTCACCAGGTAGAGCTGGTCAATAATTAACAGGCATCACCGAGCAAGCTACAGTCTCAGGATGGAAAATTCTGTTTAATTGGTTAACCGTTATGTTCCATCGGTTAACCGACTCAAGGCGGAGCGGGAGGGGTGAGGCTGGAGCGCCCCCCACCGCAGACAAGCACCCCTCCCCCTCATGACACGCTGTGTGGGCCGGACCTGCCTGGACAGAGGTTGCTTTGGCCGGCCCGAGCAGCCCGTCTGCAGTGGGCCCTGTGGGGCTGGAGCAGCCCCCTGCCTGGGCGGGAAGGTTCTCCAGCTCCTACCAGTTCACTGGAACCAGTAAGCTTTCCCCCTGCCTGGGCGGGAAGGTTCTCCACTGGAACCAGTAAGCTTCACCCGTTAAGAGTGAGGCTGACCAGTTAGCCTTTCATGTCCCTATTGCAGATGTTAAAAATAGCCCTGAATGCCTGAGGACTGGTCATCTGTAAAGCTGTACCTCCTTTCCTGGCCTTGTCATCTGCCTGGTTCTCTCTGTGCATCAGAGCCGTGATCCAACGAGCCCGGTCACTCCTGTTAAGAGGAAAGTGTTAAAGACCTTGGTACGGGCAGGTAACAAGTGTGGAAGTAGCTTGCATTAGAACCAAGTGGTCTTGGCAGGCTATATACAAGACCGGTCTTTTTTTACCACGTGCATCTAGCTACCCTCCAACCCTCTCTCCAAGGAATCAATCGTCTGACAGATGGATTACTGAACAAATCATTTAATCCACATAAACTGTGTCTGGACTTAGTCTCTGCAGGATGAAAACTCCAAGGAGCAGAGAGTTGAGGCTTTAAAGCAGAAGTAGTCTAAATGTTTGCTGAGTAGATCTAGGACTTTGCCACACTGTCACACATTAATGAAAAATCAGGTGAGACACAATAAAATTGTAAACATGGCTGAAAAAAATACCCAGGATCAGAGGCAAAAGTTTCGGGATTTGTGAAAGAACCATCACTCCACACAAACTTCTTCTGAACCAGGATTGAGGATCATGGATCTGGCCAGGCTAACACGGTCTCCGAGAGAAAGACTCTACGTGCCATTTTGATCTCAGAAGAGCAGGAAGTGAAAGATGAAGAGAAAGACAAGTCTCCACAGGAGAGAACAGGATTTAACAGCAGCAAAAGAAAATTACTTCTGGTTAGAGGGCAAAGGGGAAGGATAGGTAGATAAGGATGAAGAGAAAGCAGAAAGGAGGAAGTAGCTGAGATTCCAAAACAAAAGCAAAACCAATGCGGGAGATGTTGGGAAATGTGTTAACAGCTGCTTCTCAGAGCTATGCAATTTGCAGAAGATAAATAGGGCAGAGTTAAGGCAAAACTTATTTCTGCGCTATGGGGGAGGAGAGGTTTTGGTAGCCTTTCTAATGTACTTCTTCAAGTGTTATAAAATAAGTCACGGGTGTAACATATATTAACCTGTTGCACATTTCTAACAATGTTCTCACTGTTAAAAGTAACCCACCCACAATCCAGGAAAAAAATTCACAGCCCCTCTGTATTTTTCGGAAGGAAGCTCATGGAACGACACTCACAGCGATTCCGCAGACAGCACAATCTTCTCCTCCTTGCCTTCGCTGTTCTTCTTCATGATCACTCGAAACAAGTGGCCGCCCCATGGACCACGGGCTACGCCACTTGACCCTGGCTTCCCTGGGGGAGACACGGGAGCGTCGGGGTTCTCAATTTTCTCCACCATTATCTGATCCAGCGTGGCGTAGTCCGTAACCGCATAGCTCTCCTCGCTAGAGGCAACAAAGCGCAGCAGGTTAGACCCCACAGTGGTCGCTTCCAGAGCCACGCTCACCAAGGAAGGGAACTTGGTCTCAAAGCAGCCACCCCTAAGGTTTACCAGAACCCATCAAACACCAGGACACACACAAAGCTACAGCTGACAGAACCAGGAGCTTTGTGCATGGTCAGATGCTATTACAGATGTGAAAAGCCCTTCAGAGCAGGGGCAATACAACTTAATGGATCAGCAGCCCCTATCTGATCCTGGTTACTGGCTGAGGTTGGACGTCAAAACCTAAGAACAGACATCGTGAATCAAACCAAAGGCTTATCCAGCCCAGTATCTCACCTTCCAAAAGGGGACAATACCGGGGGTTTCAGAAAAAATGAACAAAACAGGGAAATCAGTGAGTCATCTATGTACAGCGTCTGGCAGATGTTACATTCCTGACCATCTTGGATAATAGCCAGTGATGGCCCCATCTTCTCAGAATCTAATTATTTTGAGCCCTGTTATATTTTTGGCTTCACAACATACCCTGGGGCAAGGAGTTCCACAAGTTAACAACACTTTGTGTGAAGAACTTCTTCCCTATTGTTTGCTGCCTATTCATTTAACTGGGTGATCCCTGGTTCTTATGTGCTGAGAAGGGATAAAGAACAGTTCCTTATCCACTTTCTCCACATCCGTCATCCCACAGACCTCTATTTTATCCACCTTAGTCGTCTGTGTCCCAAGCTGAACAGTTCCAGCTTTTTACTCTCTCCTCACATGGAAGTGGTTCCACACTCCTCATCTTTCCTGCTGCCCTTCCCTGTGCCTTTGCCAATTCCACGAGACAGGGCGACCAGAACTGCACACCAGGTTCAAGCTGTGGGTGGACCGTGGATTAACAGAGACAGGATGATATTTTGGGTCCTATTCTCTCTCCTTTTCCGAATGCTCTCTGACATCGCTGGCTTTTTGGGAGTGGCACTGCACATGGGGCGGATGCTTTCAGCGAACTAGCCATACGTGTGGACATGCCACAAACCCGCTGGATGAGCTATGGGAACTCACTGGTTTGAGCTGTTATCTCTTTGGTGCAGGGGCCTTCTGTCGCTACGTGTCTGTACGGCGCCAGTCTGGATCCGGCCCTTGACCCGCTATGGTCAAAACCCACCATGTCCTATAGCCAATAGCAGAGTATTTGTGACAGGGGCTGGTTTGATTTTGGCTTTTGGCTACGCAGCTTCAGTTGGGGTTTGGCCAGCTGGTGGACTATGCACGATGGGCCTACCCGTCTCTCACCCCTGCTGTGTGCCCCTCCGCATAGCTTCTTGTATTCTAGCGTGACAGCAAGTGAGCAATCTGTCCAGAGGAAGATTTCTCTGATTCCCCGCACGGGGAAGCCCGAACTGACCGTTCTGAGGTTCCCAGTGACACATTTGTCCTGGGAACATAAACAGATAAAAGAAAAACGGGCTCTCACAGGCACACAACACCCTGCAGAGCGGGTCCTGGATCGTTTTCAGAGGGAAAAGGGACAACATGAGTATAAAGGACACAAGAATAGCAAGTTTGTTACCCAAATGCCACAATGGATCATGGGATTGGGGGGCGTTAACTTCGGCCAGTGTTAGACACCATTGCCCACTGAACATTGAATCGTGGCCTCTTCTTCTGGGATGGTGCATTTCTCAAGCTGCCATGGGAGCTGAAGTAGCATCCAAGAGCGGATGGTTCTCAATCAGCTAAGAGAGTCATGGAGTTGGACAGGATCGCCGAGGGACCCCGCCCAGAGATTGAATGTGCGGTTCATCCCCTCAGCATGCGGGGGAGTAATCCCCTGGGAGCCGGGTCACTGTCACGCCTCCAGCGACAGACCGTGGCGGGTTATTCCCACACAAGTCCAATCCTCGCCTTGCCACGGCAGGCAGCACCGGGGCTCCCACGGGAAATGGACAATTCCCAAAAGCCACCCCCGAGGCTGGCCAATGGGAGAGCCAGAAACCTCCGAAGCGGGGAGAAATGAATCAGGTCTCTGGGCCACTTGGGGGAGTGAACGGAACCCATGGAGCCCAATGATCCAAAATGGTTTAAGCAGGGCTGGTATCTCCCTTCGGGGGTGGGGGGCAGCTGCAGGCTGGGGGCACTGGAGCCAACCAGAGGAGAGGTTCTTGCCTCCGGGGAGAGGCGTTGCTGGGTTACGAGCTCGCTGGATGCACACACTCAGCCTCCCAAAGTGCCCCCTCAGACGGGCCATTCTTTGGTCAGGCAAAATATTAACCCCCCTCCCCTGCTTGCTTTAGGCCACTGGTTCCCATCTTGCAGGTGGGCCGTGGGGCTCGCCCCTCCCCTGCAGTGGCAAGCCTGCATTGCCCCCCCCCACGAGGTTGGAGCGCCAGCTTCATGAGAGGGGAGGGAGCCTTGCGGGCCTGATCTGGCTGGGGGGAAGGAAGCTGTCACTCCTCCTCCCACCGGCGAGGGAAACTCTCGCCTGGAGGCTTTCCCTGCTGCTCCCATTGCCCGGAATCACTGGGAGCAGCAGGAGGTGCAGAGCCAGTTAAGTGCCCCCCATCTCCTGCATGCCCAGCCCGTGACCCAGTCTCCTCACACTCCTCCCCGCCTGCTCAGCCCCACTGCACCCTACTTCCTGGCCAGAGCCTGCACCCCCACCTGCGCGCATTTTGTCATCCTGGGTGGCTGGCTGGGGGTCTGCGGAAAGGTCTGCGTTGAGCAGGGTGGGCCGCGGCCAGAAAGGTCGAGAACCGCTGGTTTAGATGGGAGGTTGGTGCCTGCACAGGGCCTAGCCGAATGGGGTCTTGATACATGGCCAGGGCTTCCGGGTGCTGCTCTGTTGTGCATATCCCACGAGGCCAGGTCCAGTTTGTGCCCGGGTGGGTCAGTTTTCATGCTAGCTTTCCCCGGCTGCGCTTTGTTCCTCCTTTAGGTTCCACCTTCCTTCCAACGCCTGCCCCGGTTACTCTGCTCGCATCTTGGTGGGGGACGGGGACGGGGTCTTTTTAAGTAAGAGCATCACAACCTCTCCTCACCCTTGTCCCTGAGAGAGATGTGGTGGGTGCCAGCTTCACTGGGCTGGTTTCACGTCCCACTGGTAGGGCTTCTAAATAGCTGGAAGCAAAAAGTCCCGATAACAGGGCCCTCGTGAGGGGAGGGGTGGGGCTCTGGCTTGACTCGTGTACCTAAATGACTCCGACTTAATGACTTGTAAGCAAAGGATTTGGTCAAAGATCAAAAGTTTTAAAAACATTCCGGGAGCGTCTTGGGCAAAAGTCTAGGACGCTTCTTCCTCTTCAGTTAACTGCCTAATAAAACAGCAGGGAGGACTTCGGAGTGTCGGCATTTCTTGTCCTTTGCCCGCAACACTGATCAGAGGGATTCCACTGACGGCACTGGAGGGTACAGACACTTCTGACTAGGGATGTTAATGGTTAACTGCTTAACCGTGGGGGTTGGAAGAGCTCCCCTCCCAGCAGGCGGGGGGGCCATGTGCCCCCGTTTACTGGTTAAACTTAACATTTAATTGGTTAAGTAATTAAACGGGATTTTACATCCCTACGTCTTACCAAGTGGGACAGGAACATGTTTCTACTCACCCCTTACCCTGTAACCAGCTGAGAAAATCCCTGGGTTTTGGGTTCAGGGACAGAACTGGAAAATCCAGAGAAAATATTCAGACGCATTGGACCCGACATGAGATTTTATTGTTTACTCGCTTTGCCTCTGGTCAAAGTAAACAAGCATTTTAGACCCTGACAGGATTCTCCCTCCACCCAGTTGTTTGTTTTAGGTCGTCTTCAGGAGCTGTTCCAGCTCTATGGGTTTTACATGACCCGAATTGCCAAACAAAATGACATTTCGAAGTGAAACGGCAAAGTCGTGCGAGCCAGCTGAAGTGAAACATTTAAACTTTTTACATTTTATTTTTCAACCTTTTTTTTCCCCTCCAGTGAAACCGTTCACTGAGTTCGGCCCGATTTGGGAACAGTTTCAGAGCCCTCCCCCCAATGCAGTTTTCAGCAAATTTACTATTTGCCTAAAAAAACTGCCCAGCTCTATTCGCAACATGCCCCAACGCTGCCCTGGGGGAAACATCTTCGCACAAGGGGGAAGAGACCCAGTCAGTTTCTGGCTTCTCTACTGAGATTAACAAAAGTAACATTCTCCAGCAGGGCCTCTAAACCTTTCTAGACTACTGTACCCCCTTTGGAAGACTACTTGGGTCTCCTCAGAAGCTCATGCAATCTACCCAGTGTCAGGAGTGGCCTGAGGCGGGCTGCAGCAGCTGGCGCCCCAGGCGGAACGCGCGATCGGTGCCCCCGCCTGCATGGCCGTCAATGGGGTGACGTCATCATCGGGCGCCATTGAAGGCGGCGCCCTAGGCAACAGCTGAGTGGGCCTATAGCCACGGGCCGCCCCGAGCCCTTTCAGGAGTCTAATTTGTCTTGCACAGCCCCCAAATTCACCTCACTTAAAAGCTACTTGCTTATAAAATCAGACATAAAATACACGTGGGCGGCATGGGCAACGAGATGGATCACGTGAGGATTCCCTGTTGTGTTCACTCCCTCTGGGGCTCCCGGCATTGGCTAGTGTCGGAAAACAGGACACGGGGCTGGATGGAGCTTTGGTCTCACTCAGTATGGCCGTTCTTGTGTTCGTAAGTGTCACAGCACACGATCACTGACAAAGTGCTCGTCTTCCTAGATTTACCACATAGTGATGAAATAAATCCTTAAGACTGGAAATATTGTACTTACATTTCAGTGTACGGTACATCGAACAATACAGACATTGTCTATGGAATTTCAGTCTGCACTGATTTGGCTTGAGCTTTGTATGTAGCCTGCTGTAACGCTTGGCAAATACGTGGATGAGCTAAAGTATCCCTGGAAGACCTCTGCGTACCCCCAGAGGACAAGCTCCCCTGATTAAGAGCCACTGCTCTAGTGAGTGCCAACAGGGAGGGCTATGAAAACAGTGAATGGTCCTGTAGCACCTTAGAGACGATAAATAGCATCATGAGCTTTGGTGGGCACCACCCACATCTTAAGATGAGGGAGGAAGTTGGTTTGTTTGGGATTTTTGAAATCACAGATCACTAGAACTGGAAGGAGCCTCGAGAGGTCAAGTCCAGTCCTCTGCCCTCACAGCAGGACCAAGCACCATCTAGATCATCCCTGATAGATCCTGCCTACCCAACCTTCAATGACGGAGATTTTACAACCTCCCTAGCCAGTTTATTCCTAATATCCAACCTAAACTTCCCTTGCTGCAGTTTAAGCCCTTGTCCTATCCACAGAGGTCAAGGAGAACAATTTTCCCCCCCTCCTCCTCATGACACCCTTTTAGGACACATACTATGTAAGAGCTCAAGTCAGGATACCAACTTGCTTAACATAGGCATCAAACCATTGTCGAGCAGCAAACGGCACTCCCTACACAGATTCAAACTGGTGGCGGGTGTGTAGGTTCCACACCACCCACCATTCTTCTGAACCACCTCGTCTACTAGGATTCTAGCTTTGTAAATATACAGAGGGGCATTCATCAGACACCTCACCACCAGGTAATGCCCCCTCAGTGCTACTGACTGAATCAGGTTAGGCAATTGCCAAGGTTAAAATCAAACCGGGGCATTCATCAGACACCTCACCACCATGTAATGCCCCCTCAGCGCTACTGACTGAATCAGGTTTGGCAATTGCCAAGGTTAAAATCAAACAAACCGATAAAGCCTCTTCTTACAAATTCAATAAGACACAGACCATCAGTATCCTCCCTTACCTTTTTTTCTTGGTTACAAACAGGACGTCATTAAACAGAAAGAGATAGCAGCTGGCCCGGCCAAAGCCTTTGCGGAAAATGCCAGTGTCTTCTCCGTGGAACAGGGAGAGCTCCCCTCTTTTCAGCAGCCAGCGGGAAGCAGAAATCAGCGGGAAAGGCTGCCAGAGACCAAGAAATTTAATCAATTTTGGGACAGAATAGCAACAGTAAAAGGAGAATCTGAAATGACCCCCAAAGGTCACATATCACATCATCAGTGGAGAGCTACACGGCCATCCTAAGGCCAGATGTTCAGAGCAGCTCCCGTTGAGAGCAAGGATTTGGAGCAATAGGAGATGCCAAAGCCGGGCACTGAGCAGTTCTGAAAATCTAGCCTTTAGTGAGTTAGCATTGAAGGACTGTCCTGGTAGAACAAGAGACAGATTTTTAGTACCCTGACCATTTTCAGACCACGTAGAGTGACAACACTAACTCTCCAGAGTCAGGCTTTTCAAGGGGCCTAACTCACTTAGGCATTCTCATACCTCTCACAAGGTGCCTAAATACCTTTGCCAACCTGGCTGCAAGCACTGAAAAAGCTGCCACCCCTGCTAAAGCATAAGACGTCGCAGCCAGGGGACACTCCCAACGCAAAGGGTTCCTCACCTTGATCTTGCCAAACTCCAGCTGTTTCTGAAGCGTCACCATCTGCTCGGTCCTCTCCATGGTGTGGGCTCCCTCATTGCATTTCTTAACCAGCTAGAAGCAGAAAGTCAGAGACCACTGAAGATCGGGACACTGCTTTCTACATAGCGGGTGTCATGGTTGCGGAGAAGGCTCCGGCTTTGTGGGCAACCAGGAGTCCTTTACTGCCATTAAAGTGACACACGGAGTGAGGCGGGAGGGTTGGAGACATGCACCAGAACTTTAAGGCAATTTTCTCCCCCCACCGCAGCCGTGGCGGGTTTGCATTGCTCGGCCACTTTTGCCTGCTTGCACCCTGATTTTCCAGCCCTTTCTTCCTCCTCTCTGCCTGGAAAGCAAAATAACTGCAGTTCCTTCCCCCTGTCCTCACCATGCAGCTCCCGGCAATGCTGACGAGGACTCTGCTGATTTAAGGGCTACAACGGGCAGTGGCCACGCTTGGCAAATAAATGGATGAGCTAAAGTATCCCTGGAAGACCTCTGCGTACCCCCAGAGGTCCCCTGATTAAGAGCCACTGCTCTAGTGAGTGCCAACAGGGAGGGCTATGAAAACAGTGAATGGTCCTGTAGCACCTTAGAGACGATAAATAGCATCATGAGCTTTGGTGGGCACCACCCACATCTTAAGATGAGGGAGGAAGTTGGTTTGTTTGGGATTTTTGAAATCACAGATCACTAGAACTGGAAGGAGCCTCGAGAGGTCAAGTCCAGTCCTCTGCCCTCACAGCAGGACCAAGCACCATCTAGATCATCCCTGATAGATCCTGCCTACCCAACCTTCAATGACGGAGATTTTACAACCTCCCTAGCCAGTTTATTCCTAATATCCAACCTAAACTTCCCTTGCTGCAGTTTAAGCCCTTGTCCTATCCACAGAGGTCAAGGAGAACAATTTTTCCCCCCTCCTCCTCATGACACCCTTTTAGGACACATACTATGTAAGAGCTCAAGTCAGGATACCAACTTGCTTAACATAGGCATCAAACCATTGTCGAGCAGCAAACGGCACTCCCTACACAGATTCAAACTGGTGGCGGGTGTGTAGGTTCCACACCACCCACCATTCTTCTGAACCACCTCGTCTACTAGGATTCTAGCTTTGTAAATATACAGAGGGGCATTCATCAGACACCTCACCACCAGGTAATGCCCCCTCAGTGCTACTGACTGAATCAGGTTAGGCAATTGCCAAGGTTAAAATCAAACCAACCGATAAAGCCTCTTCTTACAAATTCAATAAGACACAGACCATCAGTATCCTCCCTTACCTTTTTTTCTTGGTTACAAACAGGACGTCATTAAACAGAAAGAGATAGCAGCTGGCCCGGCCAAAGCCTTTGCGGAAAATGCCAGCGTCTTCTCCGTGGAACAGGGAGAGCTCCCCTCTTTTCAGCAGCCAGCGGGAAGCAGAAATCAGCGGGAAAGGCTGCCAGAGACCAAGAAATTTAATCAATTTTGGGACAGAATAGCAACAGTAAAAGGAGAATCTGAAATGACCCCCAAAGGTCACATATCACATCATCAGTGGACAGCTACACGGCCATCCTAAGGCCAGATGTTCAGAGCAGCTCCCGTTGAGAGCAAGGATTTGGAGCAATAGGAGATGCCAAAGCCGGGCACTGAGCAGTTCTGAAAATCTAGCCTTTAGTGAGTTAGCATTGAAGGACTGTCCTGGTAGAACAAGAGACAGATTTTTAGTGCCCTGACCATTTTCAGACCACGTAGAGTGACAACACTAACTCTCCAGAGTCAGGCTTTTCAAGGGGCCTAACTCACTTAGGCATTCTCATACCTCTCACAAGGTGCCTAAATACCTTTGCCAACCTGGCTGCAAGCACTGAAAAAGCTGCCACCCCTGCTAAAGCGTAAGACGTCGCAGCCAGGGGACACTCCCAACGCAAAGGGTTCCTCACCTTGATCTTGCCAAACTCCAGCTGTTTCTGAAGCGTCACCATCTGCTCGGTCCTCTCCATGGTGTGGGCTCCCTCGTTGCATTTCTTAACCAGCTAGAAGCAGAAAGTCAGAGACCACTGAAGATCGGGACACTGCTTTCTACATAGCGGGTGTCATGGTGGCAGAGAAGGCTCCGGCTTTGTGGGCAACCAGGAGTCCTTTACTGCCATTAAAGTGACACACGGAGTGAGGCGGGAGGGTTGGAGACATGCACCAGAACTTTAAGGCAATTTTCTCCCCCCACCGCAGCCGTGGCGGGTTTGCATTGCTCGGCCACTTTTGCCTGCTTGCACCCTGATTTTCCAGCCCTTTCTTCCTCCTCTCTGCCTGGAAAGCAAAATAACTGCAGTTCCTTCCCCCTGTCCTCACCATGCAGCTCCCGGCAATGCTGACGAGGACTCTGCTGATTTAAGGGCTACAACGGGCAGTGGCCACCAGCGCTCCCTGTAAGCTGTGTGCTTGGGCAGCCATCCAGGAGAGATTCAGGCATCACCCAGCTGATCAGCAGAGCACCCACAGCCATTCAGCATGCGCTTCTATTGGTGGTGCATATCTGCACATGCCTTGGTGCACATAACATTTATTCCGCACATGGATGGAGAAAATTAGAGGAAACATTGGTGGCCACCCATCCTAGTTCCCCCTTCATGGCCCAAGAATTCCTGATCCTCAGGGTTCCTAGGAATCCATTTGCCATGGAAAAAACAATTTGCAATTTTAAAGAGAGACTATTTTTCATAAAATGTAAAAAAGTAAAGACATATTAACTATGAAGTACATGTTACTGAAAGGACCAGTGTTCACAAATTCAGTGCATGCCTCCCCCCCACACAGACACAGACTTGGGGCTGATTTCTCAATGCACTTTAAAATTTACATAGCTAACTGCACGCCAATAAACTACTTCCAGGATACAGAGATTACTTACTGGTGTATAAGGTTTTACGGTGTATAGGGTATAACAGTGTTTTAATGCACCCCCAGTTTCATTTCAGCCTCCATACACCAGTAGTTAAAGTTATGGAAAGATGCCAAAAACTTCAAAAATCACCCCTAAAAACCCTGTTACGGAGTTCGGCAAGGACAAATGTCACATTGCTGGAAATACGCGGTGTGTAACAAGGCTGTAGGATACAATCCGCGGCAGACCACTGTAGAACCCACAGAAAGTGCTAAACATAGAACGAAAAATGAGAACAAGAAGCTGATACAGCAGGTCCCTGATAAAAGTAAAGAAACAATATACCGGGACTGGATCACTCTATGAACTGTATTTGATTATAATGACTGAAGGACTAGTAGGCTTTGAATTTGCTTAAACATTGACAAATGTATCAACAAAATATTGTGCTCAACTGATGATAGACAGAGACAGAGACACACGTGCTGTAGCCAGGGAAACTGAGGATCAGCATTTCATTCAAACTGTGGGAAAACAGGGACATTTATGGTTTTTATTGGAGAATTTTGGTTTTATCACAGACACCAAGGAGCCCGGCTGAGCAGCTGGTATCTCATCTCTGGACAGCGAGCAAGTACACATGCTTGACTCATCACTCGCTTGCTCCCACGCCTAGTGCCTGTATGATTCAGCAACAGGAGAATCGGACTCCCCTTTGCATGCACTTCCCTTCACTATTCCCTCCTCTCTTTGGCCTGATGGCCTCCCACTGCAGGGATATTTTGGAGTAAATTTCCTTGCAAGTCCCTCCACTGCTCCCAGATCCTTCCGAACCAGAAACCATCGGCCACACAGGAGCAAGACAACCTGCTTCCCCACTTCTCATCTCAGAAGCTCTCCTTCTTCCTTCAAAGCCAGCCTGGAAGGCAGTAGGTGAGAGGCCTTCTTTGAGGAGCTGTCTGAGGGGGACTGCTTTACAGAGCACAAGGAACATGAAACGACTTGCTATGAACAGCGGAGATCAGGCCCTCGCGACAGGACGTACCTTCAGACTCTAGTGTTACTGGCATCTCTTCCACCGACAGCTACCCTTCAGTGCTATTAAATCATGCACATGTACGCCCCTCACCCATCACTGGCTCAGAGGCCAGAATACAGCAATAGTCCCTTTTTGGGGTGGGATGGGGAGGGGGCTAATGCTCACTGGAATCATCATATTCTGGACTGTGGGCAGGGGGACTGATTCTTTGGTTTATAGTGTAGACGTTCTGCTACAAGGCATCCAGTAAGATGCCTCTAGGTTTGTAGAGCAACAAGAGGATAAATACAATTGTAACTCACTGAATCCAAGAACCAGAAGGGACCTCGAGAAGCCACCAAATCCTGTCCCCTGCCCTCATGGCAGGACCAAGCACCGTCTAGACCAACCCAGACAGATGTGTCTCTAATCTGCTCCTAAATATCTCCAGGGATGGAGATTCCACAACCTCCATAGGCAGTTAGGAAATTTTCCCTAATGTCCAACCTAAACCTCCCTTGCTGCAATTTAAGTCCGTTGCTTCTTGTCCTATCTTCAGGAGTTACAGAGAATAATTTTTTTCCTAAAAGGGTGTTATGAGAGCAGTTTTCAAGTACCTCCTCCTCATGTCCCCCCTCAGTCTTCTCTTTTCCAAACTCAACAAACCCAATTCTTTCAGTCTCCCTCATAGCTCATGTTCTCTAGACCTTTCAGCGTTTTTGTTGCTTTTCTCTGGACCTTCTCCAATTTCTCCACATCTTTCCTGAAATGTGGTGCCCAGAATCAGACACAATACTCCAACTGAGACCTAATCAGGCAGTTGACTTGTGTGTCCTCACAGACCCAATGGTCGGGTATCCTCTGTATTCTGTAAGCCCTGCGGGACTTCTTGCAGTGAGGCAAAGCACCTGTAGCTAGACAACACACACAGTGTCTTCTTCCAGCGCCCCGGAGGCCTCACCTTGCTGATGGCTTTCAAGGCTTGGGTGGCAGCTTCGTAGGTCGTGCTGTACACGTGGGTTTTCTGACACACCGTCTAGAAGGCAAAGGGAACATTCCAGGAGCCTTTCAGAACACAAGGTCAATTGAAACGGCTTTGCTCTCTTCCCCCCGGGATGCAGCAAACCCAGGACCCTCTCCCAGCTGGGAGCTCATAACGAGCCCATGCCAGCGAGGGAAGGCAGGACACATGCGGCACGGAGGGAATTATAAACCAACAGGGAGAAGCAACCATTTTGCTCCTTGGAGGTGTCTTCTCCACTTGGCTTCTGTTGGTGTTGACTGGAGAGGTCGCAGGGTTACCTCTGCGGGCCTTTCGTGAAACAAGGGCATGAACGTGGCCTTCGCCCTTCGCAGAAACGATCTGTTTTGAGCCAAACAAAACTGGCTCCTCCTTCCCACCTCCCCCTCCCCCACAAGCTGGCTGGTTTGGGGGGGTTGCTGGATTCAGGGACAGCACGGGGGAGGGGAGGGTGAATATCCCAGAGACTGCTCACTCGGAAACCCCTGGTGCGCATCACTGCCAGCCGACCCAGGGGAGCCCCGGCATTTCCCCACTGCACTGAGATAATGCCACCCAAGCTCCGACAGAAGGCAGGTCCCTAACACCCTGCTGTGCTCTGCCCAGGGCAGGTGCACTCAGTCTGGGTGCAGGGTCTTCCACACGCTGGCTCTGACTTACATCCATAAGCAGGGGGAGACGCGTGACTCTTTGCATGGGCAGGATGAGGAAAGAGCTCATGGGGAGCCCACCGCACTCTGGCTTCCTCTCGATTTGTTTCAAGGCCTCTTTAAACGTGGCATTTGTGGCTCTAAAATGGGACACAAGGATCCTCCATTAGGCATGGGCTGGGCAGACCCAAGAGAGGCGCTCACGGCCAGGGAAGTCGCGGACTCTGCAGAGTTTCTAACAGCGGGGGACAGCACCCAGGGAGACAGCAACAACCGGGCCACGCGCTTTGTTCAGCAGCTGCCTGGATCAATCTCCTCGGAGCTTAAGAGGCGGCACCAGAGACACGCCGCCCTCCCCACAGCACTGACACTGCAATGAACGATAGGACCTCGGCTCAAGGCGGCGAACGCGTGACTGGAAACCCAGGCATCCCGGCAAGGGGGCCTCGCTTCCAGGCTGGGGGTCTGAGCCGCTTCACCTCAGCGAGTCTCCAGATCCGGGAAGGGAACGGAGCCATCCCGAAAGCACTTTCCCCTCAGGATGTCGATAATTTGTGGGGGACGAGAGGATGTTTTGTGGGGGTCGAGGAGGGAGCCTCAATAGGAGGGAGTCAATAATTTGTGGGGGGGGAGAAGGGAGCCTCACTCCCCTCCCCCACTCGGCAACTTCCCGCTTCACCTCAGCGAGTCTCCAGATCCGGGAAGGGAACGGAGCCATCCCGAAAGCACTTTCCCCTCAGGATGTCGATAATTTGTGGGGGACGAGAGGATGTTTTGTGGGGGTCGAGGAGGGAGCCTCAATAGGAGGGAGTCAATAATTTGTGGGGGGGGAGAAGGGAGCCTCACTCCCCTCCCCCACTCGGCAACTTCTGCCCACACAAAACAAGTGACCCAGGACGCGATTGTGAGTGGAAGGGAGGCTCCACGTCAGGCCTGCTGACGGGCGGGGGGGCAAGGGAAGGGGGCAACTGCTCTGGGTCTGGTGACTCATAGGAGCCAGGGGCTCTGGCCACGGCCACAGTAGCAGCCGCTGGCATCCCGGACCCTTTACACGATCACGAGAGCACAGGGCTGGAGCAGTGGGCGGCACACACTGAGCAGAGCCGAGGGCTGGGCCGGCTGACACACGCTCCAGGCTGGCTGTCCTCAGCCCCGCCCCTTTTATCCTTGGCTCCACCCCTTTTACTTTTGGCCCCGCCCCTTCCCGCAGTACGGTGTTATCCCACCCCATGTTGCTCAGGGGCCCGAGGAGGCTGTCGGCTCCGCTGTCCTGCATTCACCGTCCCACCCTGCAGAGCATCACGCCCACATCTTGCTTTGAGCACGGCAGCCGGGGCAGTGACACCCCTTCCCTGGAACAGGAGCCCTCTGAGCCACAGGAGGCTTGGCCAGGGCTCCCTGGGAGGCGGGGGGCCCAGCGGCTGGGGGGAGAAGAGCAGTAGACCACGTAGGGGTTGAAGCGGTTCGATACGTGGTCCTCCAGGATGTCGCTGATGTCGGGGATCAGCACGTTGTCCTGGTGCCGCTTCTCCAAGTCCTCAAAAAAGCTGCCAAGGACACGTGAATACACAAGGCTCTCAGGGGGGTTGGGAAGGGCAGGGGAAGGGGAGGGGAGAGCAGTTTGGGATGCTCTCTGCAGTAGACCACGTAGGGGTTGAAGCGGTTCGATACGTGGTCCTCCAGGATGTCGCTGATGTCGGGGATCAGCACGTTGTCCTGGTGCCGCTTCTCCAAGTCCTCAAAAAAGCTGCCAAGGACACGTGAATACACAAGGCTCTCAGGGGGGTTGGGAAGGGCAGGGGAAGGGGAGGGGAGAGCAGTTTGGGATGCTCTCTGGCCTACGTCTCTACTGCCCTTTCTGGCTCGCCATTTCTTGTCTCTGAGGGGATGTGTAGACTGCGTCCCTCTGTCGGCAGAGGGATGCAGATTAGGCAGGTCGACATTGCAAACGAGGCAGGGATTTAAATATCCTGCGCCTAATTTGCATAAAAATGGCCGCCACATTTTGCCGACTCAGCACTTTGTCGGCAAAAAGCGGCAGTCTAGAGGGGGCTCTGTCGAGAAAAAGCCTTTTTTGACAGATCCCTTATGCCTCCTGCAAGGGCAAAATTTCACGGGGCCCCCCCTTTGACACGGCGCATGCGCGGGGCCTCAGGAAGCGTGGGGCCCGGGGCAGCCGCCCCGCTCGCCCTGCCCTAAATCCGCCGCTGCCTGGGATTCAATGAGTCAGAGAAGGCCGTGCCTCTTCCCCCATGCTTTCAGAGACACACCGGGCCCTAGCAACGATCTCTCCATTTGCCTGCATCAGCATCTCAGGCAGCTCCGCTACCGGGACAGCCTGAAATCGCAGCATCAGACAAGGCAGGAAATCGCAGGAACCAAGCCGGACTCTTCCCTTAGAAGGGACTTTCGAACGGAAACCCACCCATTCCCAGCAGCGCTGAGAGTCGGGGCCAGCAGGTCAGCCTAGCTCTAAACCTCCTTCCTATGCTTCAGGCAGGTGCAGCTCCCCGGAGTCAAGCCCCCAAAACCTCCACCCGGGCCAAGCACAGGTCACGCAGCACACGCCTGCAATTTCAGGGGATTCGCGATGGGCCCAAAGGCAAGGGCAGCGAGCTAACTGCAATTCTCCAGGCTGACTCCCCTGCACAGAGAGGAGCTTCCCCATGTGGGAACGCAGAACGTCTGGCCCCAGGGAGAAGGGAAATCACAGAGGACCCCAGAATCCCAGAGCCAGCTCCGCACAGCCGCACGGCTTGCCAGGCACTATCCCAGCCAGTAGCATGGAACAGGGAGAGATAAGAGAGGGCTAGAACGCGGCACGGGAAATTTCCTCCCGGTTCATGGCCCTAAATATCAGCCCTCACGAGACAATGTTTCCTCTTATTTTTCCTATTGCTGGTAGAATACATTTTGTTATGTGCACCAAGGCATGTGCAGGTGTGCACCACTAAGAGAAACACTGTGCACAGTGCTCCCTGAAAGCTGTGTGCTTGGGCGGCCATCCAGAGTGATCCAAATGCTGCCCAGCTGATCAGCAGAGCGCCCGCAGCCGGCAGCATGTGGGTCTAATAGTGGTGCACACCAGCACATGCTTTGACGCACATGACAAAATTTATTCCGCCCATGGATGGAAAAGATAAGAGGGAACAATGCTCGTTCACAGAGAGAGAATCAACACAGAGCGGGCGGGACAGACAGACAGACCGGCCCTAGGGTCTGGACCTGACTCTGCAGTTCCCCAAATTTGGGATTGAGCCTGGAAAGGAATCACACACACGGCTCCGCGCTCAGACCAAAACGAGCCCTCGTCCCAGGGCTACTGGAACACAGCTGGGATTCGGTGCCTCCCTCGGGCCATTTTTGCTCAGAGGGTCACTAGGGCTGAGGCTGACACCTGGCAGCCCCGGGAGGGGGGACCCTGGCAGCTCTCCCCCGCTGCGTGTGAGCGCCGGAGTTCGGGAGTTCCTTCCGCTCTCCAGAGACCCAGCAGAGCCATATAAGGAGCCCTCGCTCCGAGCAGAGGGGGAGGCTTTGCAATAGGCCATAAAAGAAAGAGCCCTCAGCCAAGAGCACCTGGGCCATGCATCACAGTCAAGTCGGTCAGCGCTGACCGCTCGGGAGGAAAGAGTCAGCAAACAGCTTCCCGACGCGCACAGAGGGCTCCCGGAACAAGGCGAGGTTCTGACTGACAGAATGACGGATTTCCCTGCGCCCCGGGCCACGCAGCTCCGAGCGGGACACTCGGCTCAGAGCAGGGGAGCTCTGTTCTCTCATCCCTGCAAAGGAGGAGCCAGGTGGAGAGACCAGAAATCCCTCCTGCCCCATAGGGAAGAGCCCTGCCAAAGCAAAGTCGGGGGGAGGGGTGTAGATTAGCCTGCCCGCCAGCTGTCTAATGACGGTTAGCTATTATTACTTTGGCCTCACTGGTTATTGCTCAGGAAGCAGAAGCAACAACTTTTTATCTGCCACAGGACAGGTCCTCTCCCCTTTCATCCCAGCCCAATGCCACCCCCTCTCCTGTCACTGCAGGGGACCCCAAGCCACGCCGGGGTTAAGGGACTGACCCAACCGCCCACAGCAAACCAGTGGCAGAGCTGGGACTAGTACTGGTTCCCAGGCCTGGCGTATCTCTCCCCCAACAGCTTCCCCGGGTCGGCTGTTTTAGGAGTCATTTTATTGCTCCCTGCCTGCCAAAACCCTCTCCAGCCTGTGCAGGCCGGCTCAGGCCCTGCTCTCCCACAGGGCAAGCCGTGAGGCAGCCATGCACGGAGATGGCTACAGGCTGTCAGGCCCTGGCACGCCCCCAACACTCTGCACTTCCCTGTGCTGCTTTTTCACCCAGCTGCCAGTGCACTTTGGGTTCAGCGCCAGGCCAGAAAGGTTCAGCCCCCCGCCCACCAGGAGCAGGGGTAGAGCCGGAGCTCTTGTGCCTTCGGCAGGCGCGGAGCGAGCCAGGAAGGACAAGCCAGGGCTCCCCAGGGTGGCTTCCAGGCACCTCGGCTCTACCAGCCAATGCCACGTCTGAACCCGACCAGGGCTGTGCCAGGAGATTCCGCTGCGCCTGCCTCACAGCCCCACATGCCGAGGCTCTTCTAGGGCACAAGAACAGGAATCTGAAGGGGGACTGCCCCAGGCTCCCCCACATGGCAGAGCAGCGGTGGCAGGAGGCCTGGGATGGTCTCGTGAGCCCTTCAAGGAAGGGACTGTGGCCCCATCCCTGACTGCACGGAGGACACAACCGTAGGCACTAGCCACAGGAACACGCCCCACGGTGCCAGCTCCCAGCTATTCCAGCCAGCTGGGCTCAGCACCATGGCACAGGGACTGCCAGAAGGGAAGGGAAGGCAGGACAGGTAAAGGGCCCATTTGCGAACATATCACATGCAGCCCTACGGGTTACCCAGCAGCGCCCCGCAGCTCTTCCTTCAATAAAATGGATAGTGCAGGCTGAACCTCTCTAATCCGGCACTCTCTGGTCCGGCAACCTCCGTGTCCGGCATGATTGTAGTTAGTCGGGTGTCCACTTAGCATGGCTGTGGCCAAGTTTCCCACAGTCCCATAAAGTTTGTTTACAGCCACCCGTCCTAACTCTGTGTTCTGGGCTGCTATGTAACTCTAATTTACCCCTAAGGGTACATCTACACAGCAACGTTATTTCGAAATAACAGTCCGCATCTACACAGCCGGCAGTTATTTCAAAATAATGTCAGAATACTGTCAAGCTGGAGGTCTTCTTACTCCGACTCCTGTAACCCTCATTGTACGAGGGGTAAGGGAAGTCGGAGGAAGAGGGCTCTCTTTCGAAATAAGTGCTGGGTAGACGCTCCGTATCTTGAAATAAGCTACGCAATTGATGTAGCTGGCTTATTTCGAGTTAAGCCCTGCAGTGTAGACGCACCCGAAATGGCTTCTCAGAGCCCAGCAAGCAGTGGAAGGGTTGGTAATGCAGCGAGGCCAGTGTTCCTTAACCCTTATTTTATACAAAGTAACCCTTAAAAAAAATTGTAAGTCCCCTCTTTAAATAAAAAAAAAGTAGAAGTACCTACCCCTTGTACCTACAGTTTTCAGACACACAATTTCTTTCTACCATTGCAACACATTTGTTTAAACAACTTAATCGTAGCTGGGCAGGCGATGAAATTTTTGGTTATATAAAGTACAAAAATAATAAAGCGCTATAAAACTTACAACAAAAATTCAGTTTTCTCCAAATTTCAGTTGTGCTGACGTACCCCCCAGACTTCTCTCGAGTATCCCTAAGGGTACTCGTCCCTCTGGTTGAGAAACGCTGAGCTAGACAACATTGGCCTCCCATGGTTCGGTACATCTCTGGCTTAGCACCAGTCAGGTCCCGAGGGGGCCGGGGTAGAGAGGTTCAACCTGCATTTAAATAGGAAGGGCAACCAATCACGAGACACGATGGATCCCCCGTGGATCCCTGGATCACGAACTCAAGACATGAGGCTTTTGTAAAGCAAATTACAGCTGCACAGAAGTGCCAGGCTGGAGGCAGGAATCACTGGGTGAGGATCTCTGGCTTGGGCACCGCACGTCAGACTTAACAGGTCTCAGCATCTAGAATAGTCCTGGTGCCAATTCAGCCCTTTCTTGGAGGATGAGGCAGATGCTGGTCCCTGCGTTCCCCACCCACAGGGACCCCAGGTCTCTGCTGGCCAGGGAGCCTTCCCTCTCTTGCCTGCACCGTGCATGAGCTGCTCCTACCAGGAGGGGAGTTTTGAGGCTCCCTGGCACTCCACCGAACAGGAACAGCCAGGCACAGGGGAATCAGCTGCCCTCCCCGAGTTTCAGTGGTGTTGGGACCCTGCAGTTAGAGCCACGCTCCAGCCCCCTCCAGTGGCAGCTGAACTGGTTTAGTACAGGCCCATGCGCCCCCACGGCCTAGGGCAGCTGTTGTCAAACTTTTTTTCTCACGACCCCATTCAAGAAAATTGTTGCCGCCGCACCCCAACAGAATGTGCCTGAGGGTGGGCTCCGGGCGGGGCTGAGGATGGAGCTCTGGGCTGTAGGAGGGGATTGGGAGAGGGGGCAGGCCTGGGGCAGGAGAGGCTGACCTCGAGCGCCGCCTGGTCAGCGGTGAGGCAGGGGTGCTAAGGCAGCTTCCTGCCTCTCCTGGCAGCTCAGTGCACGGAGCCCTGTGCGCTCTCCTCCCCACCTAGGAGCCGGGCCTCCCGCCGGCCGCTTCTGGGGTGCAGTGCAGTCTGTGGTGGCAGGACAGGCAGGGAGCTGCCTTACCCCCTCTCCCCCCCAGACACTGCTCCCCTGATCCCTCTGCAACAACAAGACCCAGCGCCCGACATTCCACCCCCCAGTGCTGGGTGAAAACCACTGGCCCATGGGACCGGAAGCAAATGGGGTGCACCCTTAGAGGCTCCACTACTGGGCAGATTTTCCTCTCCACGATTTACCTTTTGCTGATGCTCAGGATCTCGCCGATGTTGGAGAAGAGGTGATGATGCTCCGTCTGGGTCATGGTCGCCTTCAGCTCTTCGGATTTCATGAAGTGACCCACCAGGATGCCCAGGCTGTGCAGGTAGGAGTACTCAGAGGTGATGATCTCAAAGATCGCCTGATCCGGGGGGGGGGGTAGAAACCATACCCATGAGCACAAGCATCCCCCGACAGCATGGACAAGGAGGACGGAAGTGCCTAGAGAACCGTGGCGTGCCAGTGTCCTTCCAGGCAGAGGCCGGGAGACCGGTCGTAGGGGTCTGAAATGCACCCACAGGAGGCTCACGACTGCACCCACTTGAGTGCCCGAAATGTCTCTCCTATTAGCCTCCCCACACCCCGCTGGCTACCGCAGCCCTCGTGAATGGAGAACCGCTTCTCTCACCTCTTGCCTTTTGCGCTCCACGGGGCTTATCTTGTCCACGAGGCCTGCTTCCTGCACCTGAACAAGAGAGAAAGGTCACGTGGAGTGGGCAGGACAGCACGGCTCCCAACGCCACGGCCCACCTGCAGCCAGAGAAGGCATCGCCGGAGGGGCACCATCGCCCCAGGCATCGGGTAGGGCCTCTCCCCAGCCTCCCGCATTCTGCGGTCTAGGGGGATAAGAGCCGACGGAGCAGGCTGGCCACCTCACCTGGCACTTGGCTTCCAGCAGCAAACAATGGAGGCTTCAAATCATTCCCAATGCCCTTGGTCAACGCTGGGGAACTGCTCTGATAATCTGACTGCACCTGGAGCATGGGGCGCTCTACGGCAGGATGCCACTGGAGAGCAGAGCCTCTTGGCTTGAGGGTTGTCAGGTCGCTCTGAGTCCTCAGTCAAAGCAAACCCTCAAACAGGCACCAGTGGGTGCTCAACTGGTCTGCTGGGCAGTTGTCAGGGGTTAAACTTTATTACCAGGTCTTACATGAGACTTTCTTGGAGAGAGTCTTGAAAGTGTAATACTGGCAATGCCATGAGAAAGAGCAGCAAGGAAGCAAGTCAGGAGAACAGACCTGCAGCCTTGCAAGTCATAAGCTAACCATGAGCAAAGAGCAATGGGCTTAAATTGCAGCAAGGGAGGCTTAGGTTGGACATTAGGAAAAACTTGTTCACTGTCGGGGTGGTTACACCTAGGGAGGTTGTGGAATCTCCATCCCTGCAGAGATTTCAGAGCAGGTTGGACAGACATGAGCTTGGTCCTGCCGTGAGGGCAGGGGATTGGACTTAACCTCTCGAGGTCCCTTCCAGTCCTAGTGTTCTATGAGAACCATGTTTTTCATAAAGATTTGTTCTCCCCTCTAGCAGCTTTTCCCTATTCTCAGGAAGGGTCAGAGGCATTTGGTAGAGGAGTCACATCAGGAGAAGAACCAAACAGAAGAACATTGGCAGAGAAAGAAAATGAGTTTAGGGAGCTTTGGGGACGGACAGATGGACAAACCCACGGAGGGTTCTGATGCAGATCTGGAATGACAGCCCAGGACAGCCAATGAGATGCTAATATGGATCTCCCCTGCGTTGGCAAGGAAAGAGCGAAAGCCATTTGCCTTTTCCAAACCCGTTGCTCCTCCTCTGTGAAGGTTGGAGGAACATTCACTTCTCCTCTTGCCAGCCCGGCCCTGAGGCAGCCGCCCCAGCCCCTCACCATGGTCACAGAGCTCGCCCGTGACCCTCAGGAATGCTGACTCTCAAGCCCTGAGTCCCCTTTCTAGTTTGGTTGAAAAGAGACACAAAGCAGGCACAGCCCTTGCGGGTCACGTCCATTTCCTGGCTTAGCGAGATTTACAGACTCAGACCTAGCTCTGAGCCAAATTCACAAATCCTCCCCAACCCCCAGGGAGACTCGCATAGAGCGAGCACCGAAGCTGGCTCAGAGAAAACAGCGACCTTCCACCCCAATACATCTGCTCCTCTTCAGCATGGGAACACGCTACGCGCTAGAAGGAGCCCATGCCACCCGTGCACCAACAGGTCTGCTGCCCTCTTCCACACAGCCCCGCCCCGCCCACAGCGGGAAGCTGAAGGAAAACCAGAGTCGTACTCCAGACCTGGAAATCCCTCTGGTAGTTTGCCCGGAGTTAGCGGGACCCGAGGCGGCCAGCGCTCTCCAGCACACCGCAGGGCTGGCAGGTTCGAGGACAGGACAAAGCAGCAGAACGTGAAGCAGGGCCCCTGGCCCCTACCTCAGGGAGCTGGCTCCAGGTCACCTGGGCAGGGCGATAGCTTTTCACCACAATGCAGTTAGGAGCGGGATGCTCCTCTGGAATGGATTCCTCCTCGAGCAAGTCATCGTCTGACTCATGGTTGATGGAGTTCAGCCCTCTCTCACGGATCTCCTGGTACAGCCGGGGCTCTGGAGAGAGGAGGCGAGCCAGGAAATTACAGACGGACTCTGAGAAATCACTCCCCGCCGCCCAGCCCTTTCCACAATGGGGGGAGGGAAGAGACCAGCTTCTCCTGGGAGAACCACAAGGACCCTTCATCCCATAGCCTCCAGGAGCAGGCTCTCCTCAGCAGGGGCAGGATCCGTGGCCAGGCCGGGATGCGGTACGGGGACAAAGGAGAGTGCCGGGGCAGGGATGGCATGGGAGCGCCGAATGGGTCGGGGGCCTCTCTGGCCAATCTAGGCACTTAGAGAAAACATAAGAAGGGAGAGATTTTACAGAGGAGACATTTCCAGGCCCCGCGACTGCCCTGTGCAAAACTGGACCTGAGGAGCAATCCAGGCGGCGGGACCCCGCAACAGGCCGCTCCTGCTCCCAGGAAAGAGGGCCGGGAGCACAAGCTGCCGCAGGGGGCAGACAGGGAGCGCCCAAGAGCTAGTTAACGTCGCCCCCCAGCAGGAAGGGCAATCGCCCGAGCGGGGGGAATGTCAAACATGGCACCAGCGCTCAGGAGCGCCCGGCTCCCTGGTGTAGGCTCAGTCACTTGAGTTATTTCCAGAGCATCTCAGAGATCCCTACTGCACTGCTGAATGGAGGCAGGTTCCCTGCCCCGGGGAGCTTCCAGTCTAGGTCAGTGGTTCTCAAGCTGTTTGGGCCATGGCCCACCCCAAACCTGCCCCCGGACCATCAACCAATCACCCACGATGACAAAACACGGGGAGGAGGCGGCGCAAGGTTTGGTTGGGGGTTGGCTACCAGAGTGGGGTGGGAGGGGAATGGGAGGCGCTTATCTAGCTCCACGCCTCCCGCCACTCCCAGGCACCGCCCCCTGCTGCTCCCATTGGCTGTGATTCCGGCCAACTGGAGCAGCTGGGAAAGCCTCCAGGCGAGCAGTTTCCTGAGCTGCCCTTCCCCCGGCTTGGAGGAGGGGGAGCAGCAGCACATGGAGCTGTTTCCCTACCTCCCCCACAAGTGGGGGTGTGGTGTGGGGCTGGAGCATGAGCACCAGTGCAGGCTCCTTGCTGTGGGGGGAAAGGAGGGCGGGAGGTGTCAATCCTTCCTGCTTGTAACCCAGGCGCAGCGAGCCTCATTGGCTAGGAGGGCTTGTTTGCATGACTTGTTCCCACAGGGACTGCTCAGACCCAGACTCTGGCTGTCCACAGACTGTTCTCCTAGGCTGAGCCAAGAGGGCACCTCCCCACGGCTGTGAGGATAGGGGGCACCTCTCAGTCAGCAGACACTCACGAACCCGCCTGGAGGCTGCGCCGCAGGAGCAGCGCCCAGGGAGAGACAGTCACCTTCAACACCAGCAACACCACCGAGTTAGTGAACAGCGGGGGCAAAAGACAACTCACCATCCTTAAAGGAGCCTCCGTGTCGCTGCATCCGCTTTCTCCCCAGCGTTCTCTGTAAGAGTCACAGGAAAGACACCGTCAGTATGGGGGGGAAGAGGGGGAGAACCCACCCCGCATCTGACAGCTCTGGAATAAACCAACCAATCTGGACAATCTCTATGACAAAGACTAAATGAGCACAAATCAGACATCTGGAATGGTAACACACGAACTAGGGATGTTAAATATCGAGTAATTGACTAATCGAATAGTCGATTAGTCAATAGGGCGCTTCTGCCTCTGTTGCCTATTAACAATTGATAGGTACTACTTCTGTGCGTGCGTGTATATAGATATATATCTATATATAGATATATCTATATCTAGATATAGATATATGTATCCTAACTGTCAGGGTGGTCAAATATGGGAATAAATTGCCAAGGGAGGTGGTAGAATCTCCCTCTCTGGAGATATTTAAGAACAGGTTAGATAGACATCTGTCAGGGATGGTGTAGATGGAACTTGGTCCTGCCTTGAGGGCGGGGGGCTGGACTCGATGACCTCTTGAGGTCCCTTCCAGTCCTATTATTCTATGAAGTACTTGAAAGGTGCTATCATGTCCCCTCTGAGTCTTCTCTTTTCTAAACTAAACAAATCAATTATTTTAGTCTTCCCTTTTGCCCACAAAAGCTCATGATTACACACACACACACACACACACACACACACGTTAGTCTCTAAGGGGCCTCAGGATGACTTGTTTTTAAAGTTACAGCTAACATGGAGACCCCTCTGAAATAACATGCCATTGCTGGCGTCTGGTTTAAGTCAGTTTTACAGGGAGTGGAGATGCTGTATTAACAGCCCTGGGTCTGCCATGTACCCATAGACCAAGCTCAGTGTCTGCAATACATATGCTGTTTCCCTGAGCTTCCTGCCCTCTCAGTGTCCCCGCCCTGACCTGGAGGGACATGCTCCAGGGTGTTCAGTCTTCAGACGTTCCACAGCAGCTGCCAACCCTGGAGTTGATATGATACCGATAAGTTTAGAAACAACGAGCTGTCCTGTGGCACCTTAGAAGTTAGCAGATTAGGTCATGAGCTTTTGTGGGTAAAACCCACTTCCTCAGATGAACTGGAGTGGAAATTACAGAATCTGAGATATATAAAACAGCAAAAGAAGTTACCTGTGAATTGTAGGACCAGTGTTAATGAACTTAAGTAAGTCAGACTTAATCTTAAGTGGTTAACACACTACAAAGGCAATTTCTCCACCTTTGATATTCGCATTTCCACGTCAAAAGCTGGGACAGATCCAGCCTAACTTAATTAGCTTCATTAATATTAGTCCTACAATTGACAAGTAACTTCTTTTGCTGTTATCTATATACCCCGGATTCTGTAATTTCCACTCCAGTTCATCTGAGGAAGTGGAAAGCTCATGATCCTCTATATTTTAGTTAGTCTCTAAGGTGCCACAAGTCTGCTCATTGCTTTTAAAATTACAGACTAACATGGCTCCCTGTCTGAGATTTTTTTTATGATACTGATAAGCATCTAACAGAGTAATCCTGCACTGACGGGGACGTGCTAGATGAGTGAACAAGTTGGTTCCATCTCTCGACCTCCACAGTCCTCCACGACTTTCACCATAGGTCAGATAAGTGCTCTTAAGTACTATCCACTTTTGGCCACTAGCAGCTTGGCCTAGTCAACAACTAGCAGCCTGTTTCCAGCCTCTGATGACTTACTGACAGAGCCGGCCTCTTTCCCACCCCCTTTGCCCGCTCCTGGGAACGAAAAGCTATAAACATGCAAGAGGAAAAATTCCGGTTGGTGTCTGGATGAAATGCAAACAATCCAAACCCCGAGCTCTGTAGCAATGATAGCAAGTCAGGTTGTGTGTGCAGAGAGGAAGGGGTTTTCTTCCAATTTCTTCCCTGTAGTCGCCTCCCCTAATGGCTGGTTTCCAAACGCATGTGGAATGGTGTTGTGAAACCAGTTAATCGAGGTTTGGAAAGTCTGCCATTCCCTCGACAGGTTCTAGCGCACCCGTAACGCATGGCAGGACACTCTACAAGTTGAACCTCTCTAATCCGGCACCCTTGGGATCTGACCGGTGCCAAACCAGAGAATGTGCAGATCAAAGTAACCCATAGTCCAATAGGGAAGGTATGGCGACGCGTCAGGTACCCTCCGATTCTGCACCCCGTCTACAGCAAGGTGAGACTCTGCCAGCCAGTAGAATAGAGGGGGTTTATTGCTTGTCCAGGATACAGCACAGCATAGAGGTGATATGTCTACAGGAGTCTGGGCCAGGATGCCTCAGCCCCCTTGAGAAGGGGTCCCTGAGCCCCTAGATTCCAGCCCCCTCCTTAGTCTGTTTCTTTCATGGTTCCAGCCCAAGACAGCCTCGCTCCCAGACCCTGCCCCAAACCAGGTGTTCGTTTCCATCTCCCTCCCTTTGTCTCTCCCCTCGGGGAAAAAGCCTTGTTATCAGGTGTCTGGGCGAATACACATGTGGGTGAGTCAGTGGAAATCACACATCACAGCGCAGGGGGACACCGGGTTACAGAGCAGACAGCACCCCCACAACGCCACAGTGGGTCTCTATTTTTATTTCACCAAGGCAAAGAAATGGAACAACACTTGCAACACTGTTTACTAATGTCTGACTGTACTGAGACACCCTATAGAAGCTTATGCCTAGCTGAGGCTTATCAGCTCTCTTCATAACAAAGTGTCAGTGTTGTTACAGTTTTTCTGTACTGGCACAAGGAAATAGGTAGATAAAGCATAAAACCCAGCAGCATTACCAGCACGTCCCTAAGAACATAAGAATGGTCATACTGGGTCAGACCAAAGATCCATCCAGCCCAGTATCCTGTCTGCAGACAGTGGCCAATGCCAGGTGTCCCAGAGGGAGTGAATCGAACAGGTAATGATCAAGCAATCTCTCTCCTGCCATCCATCTCCACCCTCTGACAAACCGAGGCCAGGGACACCATTCTTACCCACACTGGCTAATAGTCATTCATGGACTTAACCTCCAGGAATTTATCTAGTTCTCTTTTAAGCCCTGTTACAGTCTTAGCTTTCACAACCTCCTCAGGCAAGGAGTTCCACAGATTGATTATGCACTGTATGAAGAACAACTTCCTTTTATTTGTTTTAAACCTGCTGCCCATTAGTTTCATTTGGTGGCCCCTAGTTCTTATATTATGGGAACAAGTAAATAACTTTTCTTTGTTCACTTTCTCCACACCACTCATGATTTTATAGACCTCTATCATAGTCCCCCTTAGTTTCCTCTTTTCCAAGATGAAAAGTCCTAGTCTCTAATCTCTCCTCATATGGGACCCGTTCCAAACCCCTCATCATTTTAGTTGCCCTTCTCTGAACCTTTTCTAGTGCCAGTATATCTTTTTGAGATGAGACCACATCTGTACGCAGTATTCCAGATGTGGGCGTGCTATGGATTTATATAAGGGCAATAAGATATTCTCCGTGTTATTCTCTATCCCTTTTTTAATGATTCCTAACATCCTGCTTGCTTTTTTGACTGCCGCTGCACACTGCGTGAACATCTTCAGAGAACTATCCACGATGACTCCAAGATCTCTTTCCTGATTAGTTGTAGCAAAATTAGCCCCCATCATATTGTATGTCTAGTTGCTTGCTGGGCTCTTAGAGACATTTAGGGGTAAATTAGCGCTAAATAACAGCACAGAACACTGAGAGCCAGGATTGGTGGCTGTAAACTAACTTTATGGGACCGTGGGAAACTTGGTCAACCCAGGATAAGTGGACATCCAACTAACTCAAATCATTGTGGACCATGGATGTTGCCAGACCACAGACTGCGGGACTAGAGAAGTTCAGCCTGTACTCACATAAAGTCCCATCAGGCCACAAGTGGCCAGTTCCAGGGATGCATCAATGAGAAGGAGAATCAGGACAGATGTCATCCCATTTTACCTACATTACAGGCTAGAAACAGAAACTGCTCGGTTTCAAAAATATGGGGCTCAGGTCTCTTTCTCCCTTGCCTTTGGCAGATATCCCCCCAATTCTGATCTCTGGAAATCCAGTCACCTAAGCTGAATTATTCAAGATACGAGCACGAAAAAAGAATTCAGGGGCCAGATCTGAAAATGCTGGGCTAAGTGAGGTGTCCAGGGTCATACAGCAAATCAGTGGCAGGACTGAGGCTAGAATGCAGGTATTCTCTCAATCATGTGGATTTGTTTTGTTTTGCTTTTTCAATTTAGTTCCTTAGAAAAGGAAGTTACCTAACCAGTTATTTAACCTAGTTATCCAGTCAATAAGCACATATTTCAGGAAAAAAAATGTGAATTCCTCTGGTCTCACTTGCAAGTTTGTTTGTTTTTAATAATAATACTCAAATATAAGGGAGTGAGTCAGCTTTCATCTTGCATTACACAACTGTGGATCAGAACAGCCCTAAAGTTATCTCAGTATTTCTTTTAGCCAGCCACTGCCTCTACTTGTCACAGCACGTGCACAAACAGTATCTGTAGGTAATCAGAGAGAGCATCTGTTGTGTTCATTTCCGGGTTCCCCGCACTCTTCTACTAACACTAGCCCTGAGCAGGGTGCAAGTCTGAGAACTGACCCTGCAAACACACACATGGCTACACTGGCTGCAGGGGGCAGCTTCACTTATTAATGTGACTGGATTCTGTCTGTACTTCTAACACGTTCCAGGCTGCAACTTCTCTGTGCTTTCAGGGGATCTCCAGAGGTGGACAAGCTGCAGCCCGAGGGTCGCATGTGGCCTATCCGGGTTCTGTGTGCAGCCCGTGAGACATTTTGATGACTGTTGCCCACGTGCAGGGTTGCCAGACTCCGCGGGTTTCTGTCCACGGAAATTTTTCCCCTACCGGTATTGTTAAAGGGACCCGCACATAAAGCCAGGGCAGTGAAGCGAGGTGGGTGCTGTTTGCACACAACCGTGACTGTGGGAGCCGTGCGGTCCCTCTGCAGCCAATCCAAGCACAGGGTCAGCAAAACTCTCCTGTCCCGGGAGACTGTCGTGGTTACAACAGCCTTACGGCCCACTGAGGTGAAGGAGGGTCCTTTGTGTGGCCCGCTCACTCATCTAGATTTCCTGTCACGGGTATGTCTGTACTGTGTGCTGAAATACGTTTTTGTGCTTAACCACCAGTCAGTACAGCTAGCTACCCAGCCCCTCCCCACCAGCTGTTATTGCACACTTGTGCAAAGCACTTCAAAACAAGCAGCTGCTCTCTGTCTTCGATGCGACTGAGTGAACGAAGGAGCCAGATAGCGCACGAGCTGATGTCAGAACAGCTGGATCACGGCCCTCCCAAAGCATGAGTCACCACATTACATCAGCTACACACAGCCTGGTCTTACCCCCACCGATCCCCACCACCTTGCCAAAGGAGCTTAGTAGCTAAAACTGAACCAGGACTGATCTCCTACCCCACCTCCCAAGTCCCAATTCGGAAAGGCACAGCTGTTCAGATGGTGCATCTCATTTCATCTCAACCAAGGATGTGCAACAGCCCAGCTGCAGAAGATGCTCAAGGCGGCACACATGGCGAAGACGCACCGGAAGCCTGGGAGTTAGTTTATTTATTGTACTATGGCCTCTCCCCCCTTCCTGGCCATATTTAGGGTTCAAACGGCCGTAATGAAAGCCACTTGAGGGAAGTGGTATCTGAGAAGTCGGATTAGCTAATGGGAGAGGGGGAGGGGGTGGAAGCGTTTGGATGGTTTATGTTTTTGCCAATTTCACGAGTCAAAGCAAGGGGCTGGAAATCAGACCCCGGCCCTCTTGGCTGTAAGTACGTACTTTAAAGAATGGGTTGGCCTGGGAAAGAGCAGGATGCTTGGACACTGAGAGAAGGCAGCAAAAAGGGCCCCGCAGTCCTTCCAGCGCACCGAGTATCGTAGAATCATAGAATCCCAGGGCTGGAAGAGACCTCACAAGGGCATCGAGTCCAGCCCCCTGCTCTAGGCAGGACCAACCGCAACTAAACCAACCCAGCCAGGGCTTTGTCAAGCCGAGACTTAACCTCCAGGGATGGAGACTCCACTACTTCCCTAGGGAACCCAGCCCAGCGCTTCCCCACCCTCCTAGTGAGTACGGCGGCTCTTCAAAAGCAGGGCCAAGGCGTCAACCGTGCGAGCAGCGTGATCACCAGCAACCTACGCCCATGGGAAGCAGGGGCTTTTCCCAGCCTGTATCGCCCTGGGGACTAACCCCCAGCCAGGGGGGCGGCAGAACCGGTGGAGGAAACGGCAGAGTCGCAAGCTCTGGAAACCAGCGATTGGGGGGCGACCAGAGGACTCAAGGCAGAGACGCCCTGTCCCTGCTGGTCAGCGCCCCGCTGAATTGGGCAGATAGAACAAACCTCTTCCCTGAGATATGGCCAGGCAGCTGATGGAGTCTGTCCAGACAGATGAAGCAGAGCTTATTATCTAGAGCAGGGCTGGGCAAGATGGGGGCATCAGGCCGCTTACTATTCACATCCCGCTGCTCGCGCCACTGAATTTCCAGGCGGTGGCTCAGGCAGCAGGATCCTATTGAAATGGCTCCCGGCTGCGGCGCCACCCCGACAGGGCTGGACCATGCGCTTTTTAAATAGCCAGGGGGCTGCCAGGCAAAGGGGCAGCAGCAGGGCCAGGAGCCACGAGCCCTTTGCTGGGTTTTTAAGTCAAAGCCTCCAGGCCTAGACAACTCTGGGGGTAGGCTGGTCTCCAGCCCCGCCCCTTCCACAGGAGGCCCCGCCCCTTCCACAGGAGGCCCCGCCCCTTCCGGGGGTGGAGTTGGCCCAAGACCATGTCCCAAAATTCATGAAGTGGCCCCCCTGTGAAAATTACTGCCCACCCCGATCTAGAGCAGAAGCCCCATGGGGGAGGGGCCATTTTGTTCGGTTTGTACAGCACCGAGCGCCACGAGCTCGGCTCCTGGGGCAGAGGCATTGCGATCACCAATCACCTTTTGTTCAGGGAAGGGCAGATGGGGAATGCCCCGGGTGATGCTCATGTGGCAAGGGGGCCGGGAAGCCCAGCATGGGGCCTACCTTGGTTCTCCCCGGGCTGCGGGCCGGTTGCATGCGGGTGTCCTCTGCTGAGGGCTTCAGGGTGGCGACGCCCTTCGAAGGCTCCAGCGCCTCGGTGTTCTCGACCTCCTTCATGGCCGCCCGGTACGACGTGTTCCGCAGGTTGCGCTTGAGCCCCTCGCCAGAATCCAACTCCAAGTCGAAGTCGTCCACAGACATGCTGGGGGCGGACATCCGCTTGAGGTCGCAGCGAGCCGCCTCTCGACTTAGCGTGGCCGCGGCGAAGCTCTGGTGGCGGGCAGGGGTCTTGGATTTGGTGGACACGGCCAAGCTTTTGGGGATCAGCTGCTGGGTGCCCATCTTGAGCGCGGCCGGGCTCTCGGTGCTGAGGATGACGCGACGGGGCTCGGTCGGGGACGGGGAGCGCTGGGCCGCGAAGGAGCCATTGTCCAGGGCTGCCCGGGAGCTGCGTTTCCCTGGGGGAGAGGTCCCGTCGTCATCTGGCCGCAGCTCGGCTTGGAACTTGTGCTCCAGGAGAAGGGCCTTGTCACCCATGGAGCTGTCTGAGTGCCTGTGAGACATGCTGGCGCTGTGGGGAGCCGGGCACCCTGCAGAGAGAACAGACAAGACACAAGGCTTAGGGTCTAGCTCTTCCCTCTTCCAGGGGAATGGAAGACCCACAACCAACAGAAAGGGGTCTCCCAGACTGGATGGGATGGGTTGGTTGTCAAGAAGTAAGCAAACATCTCCCTGCCCACCCCCCACATTTGCTGCCTTTTGCTAACACAGGAGAAAATAAAATCTCCTCAAGACTGACGGTAAACAAGGGCGCAAGCCAGTCGCGGACGTTTGTGATGGGAGAAAGTATGAAAAAAACCCCACTCGACAAATGAATCCATACACAGAACAGCAGGCCTGGCAAAACCCAACAAGGCATCACATGATTTGACTGGCTAGTTATTATCAGGGCTCGACAACCGTGGCGAAAACCCACTCGCCAGCCCTGTACCGCGCATGTGCCAGACCCGCACCACGTGTGCGCGCACTGCCGATGAACGGGGCGACCGGCTGAAATCTACTTGTCACAGGTGAGTAGATAAGTGGATTTGTTGAGCCCTGGTTCTTATAGTTCGCTAACACCTCAGGCGACTGATATCTGCTGGGGGTGGGGTTGTGCAGGGAGGTGATGCCCAGAGGAACAGCGGGACGGTTTGTGGGGAACACCCGATGTAGCAATTCAAATGTTGCCAGGGACACTGGGGTAGGTACACCGCCCACGTGCTACCACGAGTCACTTCTGGCCAACACCTTGACGTTCCAACTCAGGTCGTGAGCCGGTCATGCTAGGCCTTGCACACACGTGCAGTGAGCGGCCGGCCCTGCCTCAGGGGAATCTGGAAGCACCAGCTCAGGGAAGCTGAAGGAAGGAAGAGAGAAACGGACGTGGAAGTACCACAGCCGGGCCTCGCGCACAGCCCACGAGCCGACCAGAAATAAACGAGTCAAAAACGGACCCCGAGAGCTGCCTCCATTATCCGAGTGCCAACAGCCGGACCCCCGCTAATTGACGACGGCTGAGTTCTGCTACAGCAACCTCTGGCCAAGTAGCCGCGTGGGCCCGAGTGAAACCCAGGAGCTGCGGGGCCACGCAGGTGACAACGCGCATCCTTTCGAAAACAAGGAGCATAAAGGAGCTGTTTGTTCCCCCATCAAAACCTCCTCTGTGAAAAACCGGAGACTAACAACACAGCCCCATGTTACATCCCAGTCACCATTATCCTCCGGGAGCTTCCGAATACAGGCCGTTATTGTTCCTACTCCTGGGCCTTTCCTCTTCCCCCCCTCAAGCACGGAACGGGAGAGGCAAGTCCCTGCCCCCACAGAGCCCGTGGACAAGGAGGGAGTGTCCCACACACCGTCCTTTACACACGGGTTCTACCTGGCCGCCCCGGCCGCACCTTGAGTCCCCCACCTTTTAATGCGGCATCATTCAAAGGAAAGGAAAGTCTCTGCGGAAGGGACCCTTGTTCTCACCCAGATGGGAAGCAACCAGGAATTCCAGGGCTGGAGCCGTGCACTCAGGTCTTGGCTGACATGATGTAGCCAAGGATCAGAAGTATCAGGTAGACTTAAGATACCGAGAAGAAATACCGAAGAATTAATTCATGTTGTACCACCCACCACTGTATTTACCGTCACAGCTTTAGGTCCCATCAATCGCACCCTCACTGGCCACTTCCCAGCTCTCCCATTGACCAGGAGCAACAACACGTGGCCAGCGGGAGCTGAGACCGCCAGCACCTGCAGCCGTGCAGGTAAATATAGTGGCAGTGGCCCACCAGGGGCTAACCCTGGCAAACTGTCACCATGTTATTGCCCACCCCGATTACAGGCACTGGAAAAAGTTCAGAAAAGGGCAAAGAAAATGGTGAAGGTTTGGAACGGGTGCCACCGGGAGGGCAGAAAAGAAACACACCTGGTCCCTGCTGAAAGTTCTCTCCTCACACGTTTGCACAGCGCCTAGCGCAGCGCGCCGCCGTCCCCACCGCTACTGCAAGACAAACACCACTCCTGCCAGCACTGGGCAGCCCCTCCCTTCCCTGCTAAGGAGGGAAAGGCGCACACAGCCCACACCCTGACTACCGGGCAAAAAAAGAGGTTTGGCCAGTCTGGTTGGATTTAAAACTCTGCCATTTCCTTGGCTCCACTCCAGGGCTGATGTCAACTAGAGCAAGGGCCAGGTCTGTGCTCCAAGCGGGAAACGAGGAGGATGATTCGGATGCAACCATCACCTGCTGTCCTTGCCCTTCGCTTCCCGCACCCTTCCCTGCTCCACTACTGCCGCCCTGGGGGAATCCACACCGCGATGCGACCGCTGCTCTAGAAAGGGGGCGCCTCAGCTCCATCCCCCACTCCCCAAAGGAACCAGCTGCCTCTAGAGCCATTTGGAAAGTCAGGCACGGACCCTGTGTGCAAAGTCCAACTTTGGGGTGACCCGAGGTGGCTGCCACTTGCAAATAGAAGACACCCTCCTCCCCGGCATACTGCTTTTCCTAGAGGTGCTAACGGGGTGGGCAACACAACCAGTGCCCTTCTGCTCACACCCCTTTTCCCCCCAGTCCATGACAGCTGGAAAAAAAAAACCCTCGCTCCAAATTGTCCAGACTGAGGTTCCATTGTGCCGAGCCATTCCCTACAGGAAATGGAGGGCAAGACTTGAAACATCGGCTTCTTTATGCGCACTGGCAGCACAACAAGTCAGCCCGGTCCACAAAAGCCGGCCTGATGGAGAGAGGCTGCTCATTTTCTTCTGCTTGGCCAGTGTGCCGCCAAGTCCCCTGCGGGGGGAGAAAAATAAAACAGGCCTGCTCCCTCCGCTGGCACAGGGGATGTCAAATCCTGTTTAACTGGCTTATCTGCGTGGTCAGGCGCTGTGGTCCGGACACTGGAGCAGCCCTTGCCTTCAGCAGGGAGCTGCTTTGGCCCCCACCGGTGAATGGTTAACGGTTAACCGGGACTAGTAAGTATCACCTGTTGGGGTTAACCGGTTAACCTTTCACATCCCTGGTTGGCACAGGGTGTGCTGAAGCGTAAGGACCTGTTTAACCACAGTGGAAATAAGGCAGCTAACAGAGAGTGCGAAACAGGAACGCCAGCTACTTGCAGCCTCCAGCCCTCCCCAGGGCGAGTGCTCCGAGAAAGGTGGGTTCTGCTGTTCTGAGCCCGGACCTCAGAACCAAGAGCTCCTGAGTTGTCATCCCAGTTCTGACACTGAGTCACTGTGTGACCTATGGCTTGTCACTTCACCTCTGGGGGAGGGAAACAGGCACAGTAGGGAAGAGCAGCACGCCGAAGTAAGAACAATGGGCCCATGCCATGAGGTAGGGTCTGACTTCTGATGCCCTCACAACGGGTCCTATTCTGAACGCTTCTGTACTTCCTTTATAGGACAGTCCCTTAATGCCTCTTTGTGGGGGCATGTTGGGGTCCCCCCGATCCTGCAGCCCTGTAGCAGCAAGAACAGAATCCTCCCGCCAGTAGAACAGGGAGGGTTTATTGCTTCTCCAGGATTCAGCAAGGCACAGATGTGATGTGGTTAGAGGAGTGAAGGCCAGGATGCCTCAGACCCCTGAGATTAGGGGGTCCATCGCCTCTCCCCTTAAACCCTCAGTCCTCTAGTTAGGTTGTTCCCTTCATGTTTTCCAGCCAGCAACTGACCCCCCTTCCTCCCACACTCACTTTTCCTTAATTCCCTGGCTGCCCTCAACCGGTCTGACCGGTTGGGTCTTTGTCTACCTGACTTAGGCAGCCCACCCCCTGGGTAGTGCTCACAGGCAAAGGCCAGTAGGGGTCATCCACAGCCCACAACACAGCAACTAGCAAGGCTCTGACACTACATCACAACATGTGGGCGAGTCAGTGGGAATCACACGTCATAGCACAGGGGGGCAATGGGTTATAGAGCAGACAGCACCTCCGCTACGCCACACTCTTCCCCACTGCTTGGAAATCGACAAGGGCCCTGTGCAGTACCCTCCCAGCCTGCAGACGCTCACAGACGTGCCTTAAATCACACGAGCAGCCCCTTGGACGTCAGCGGGACACCTTGTGAGTGCTAAGTCCGTGCCCACGTGTTCACAGGCTCCCTGCACAGGGCTGCATTCTGGAGCATTTGTGCTCGAGTCCAGTTACACAGACCCACCAGTGACTTACCAGCTACCACTCACCAGACCCATCCTTACCCAGTCTCTGGGTGTAACGCGGACAGGCGGAACCGAACCCACGGCCTCTGGAGCATAGTGCATGAGCCTCTACAGCTTGAGCTCCAGAACCAGGCACAGGGACCATCAGGGAGGAGGGAGAAAGGAGAAGCAGTGTGATGGCATGTCATGGTCCCCCACCTCCTGCACCCCCGTAGCGGCACGAACAGACTCCACCAGCCAGTAGAATAGAGGCAGTTTATTGCTTCTCCAGGATACAGCACAGCACAGGTGTAATCTGGTTACAGGAACCGGGGCTAGAAGGCCTCAGTGCCCCCCCTTTGAGATGGGTGTGGCTGGGCCCTACAATCCCAGCCCCCTCCCTAGCTCCTTCTCCCCTGCTTCCCAGACCACAACTAAAAGCTGTCCCTTCCAGCCCTGCCCCCCAGCCAGGGGCAGCATTCCACCTTCCTTTGTTCCTCTCCCTGGGGGGTAGCTGGTAGGACAGGTTACCTCCCTGTCCCATCAGCTACTTGGCTGGGCCGTGGTACAGCCAGCAGCCAGTGGGGTCACCCACAGCCCAAGCCCAGCAACCAGCAAGGTACCCCCGCTATGACCACAAGAAGCTTCTCAGATCAGCTGAACTGGTCAGGAACCAGCAGGTACTGCAGGAACATACCTCCAGGGCACTGATGCCATTCCAGCCTGGCCTTCCCTAATGCAACGCTCCAACAGGCCTCCTCATGTCACTGGGCCCCCCGGCTGGAGAATGGGGTGTTTCCAGTGGGCGGGGCAGCAGCTGGTTCTGAAGGGGCACAGCTCTGCCCTCTGGCAAAGGGGACCAAGGCAGGGCTTGGCCTCAGAGATGCTAATCTCACCCAGCGGGCCACACTGCATGGGACAGGCCTCCAGAACAGGGGTGGGCAGGGTACAGCCTGAGGGCCAGATCCGGCCCACGGCCTGCCCCACTGGGACCCTCAGGCAGCTACCGCAGCTCCGGGTCACTCAAAGTGACTGGCTGAGGGTGGGGAGTGGAACTTCTCCTGCTACCCCCGCCCCCAGCACAATCATCTCAGCTCCCATTGGCTGGAACTCTCCCCCGAGCTAGAATCCTCTCCTGCACCCCTCCCCCTCCCCACCCCCCCGCCCCCGGCCCTC